GATTCTGATACTTTGAGCGAAAGTCTGATTACATTGTTTTCCAAATCTGGCGATACACGTTGATTTTCTTCTTTCCTCAAAAAACAAAAAACAAGCAAACCCCCAGTACCTGTACCTTTATCCTTTGCAGAAGGTCTCGGCTTATTTCTATGGCAGATGCATATTTTTTAGCTTTATTTTTCTCTTCATCGTCGGGTGTTTTACGCTTGTGTTCCGAACCCCAAGCAAGGTCTGCGTCCTCTTTTAAACCCAGCGCTAAGACCAACCCAGCGCCAAGCCCCCAGAGCCAAACCTTGGAGCGCTTAGCGTTCAGAGAATGAAAGCCGAATTTATTCGGGTGTGTTTTGAAGCCTCGACTTTGTTGACAAATCCAGGATCCACCGATCAGCCAGCCACAACGAGGAAGGCTCTTGTTAGCCTCGTCCGTCCAGGAGCGAGTTTTCCGCAGACACCAGCTTTCACAGCTGCGCCTGCAGATGTTGTAAAGCAATCGAGACATAGTGCACGGACGTCAAAATAGTCAATTTAGTGATGTAAGAGAAAAAAAAGGGTAGGCAAGAGGAGAAATGCGAGATTTCACCGGTTGGAGCGCAGCCTGCCTTTCACTCTTTGACAGTGACAAACTCCACAGGCAGCACTAATCAAACTCTGATTCAGACCCCACAGGGCCAACGCAGAATTTTGGATTAAAAAGGGAGGTATGTACTACCTCGTCTAGGTTTATAAACATTTATAAATGTATAAACGTTAAAGCATAACTTCAATGTTACATTGTGCTTAAACATAATACATAAACTTTTTGAATTTAATATTAAGATTCAACATATTTAGTATATTATATTTTATATGACTAGAAGCTGAAACAATGTGCTCTCTCTCTGCAGTCATACTTTTCAATTAAATATTTCTTAGAGCTTCGTTTGAACAGAGCTTAGTTTCTGCACAGATGTATTCACTGCTTTTATTTTTCCTGTAATTTGTGAATATAAAATGCACATGATGTTCTCTAAATCATAACGAGAATAATTTCTTCGAAAAGTGGTGAACCAAGAGTGTTTTTTCTCTGTACCCTCCAGTCTGCTTATAAAAACTATTCTTTTTCATGTACATACAAAATAAGCAAAGGTTCGAACAACTATAGAGTAGGTAATTGGAAATCAATGTAATAAATGTCACATGTCACACTAATACTGTAGGTGGTGATTTAACCCATTTCCTGTGAAGTCAACGTCCAAAAGTATTTCATAGACTTGTATATAAAGTACAAACGTCCTTTTTTCAAGCTATATTAAACAATACAAAGGAGAAACAGTATCCAAAACAGAAGAATGAACAAAAAGAACTGGGAACAATATGGTGCCATAGATAATTACAAATCTGAACATCAAATCAAAAGTTTGACATACTGTATATCAGTGGTG